TGTTGGAACAGGGCTTTAGATATGGTTATGAATTTCGGCTTTGCCTCGTTGGCTTTGTAACTTAGGCAAGCTAAGCTTCTCATCTCCTTATGAAGCCTCAGATTTCTCACGTACAAAATAGAGGTTTTTAACATACTTTCTGGGTTGTTGTGAGGATTAAATCAGATATCTAACATGTTAAATTTAAAGCATGGTGCAAGAACAAAATAGATGCCAAAATGAGTATCTAAGTAGCCATTTATTCACAATTTCAAAAATATTTATCAAATGCCTATTACGTACTAAGCACTGCTCTAGGAGTTGGATACAGCAGTGAACAAATAAGGATAATTTCTACTTTCATGAGATTTATATTCTAATAAATTATTAATATGATTATTACGTATAATTAACAATGTAAGGAAAAGAGAGCAACTGGATTTCACGTGGCATTACAGTGACCTTATCACAGAGCACACCCAAACCAGTTCATCACACACGTGCAACACACCTGTCTGCATATAACCCCATATATCAAGAAAGCAGAATGACAGAAGTTATTTCTTTGGGTTTTTTAAATTTACTTTTCTCCAGCTCTGAGAAATCATCGACATAGAACACTGTGTAAGTTTAAGGTGTAGAGCGTGAAGGAGGAGAACTTAAGACATGAATTTACTTGTGATGCATACGAAACGTGTATGTGTTTCATAAGGAAATTTCGCTACTTGGGAACCAGAGCCGGCCCAACTGTTCTCTACAACCTAAGGCTCCCTGTGGAAGAAGCCAGACCCGTTGCTGGAAAAGACCAGATCTGGCCAGAAAAGCTTGACTTATTCTAGTTAAGAGGACGTATTACCTTTCAAGCATTTGAGAGTTTCTGTACTGCACACATCCACCCTCATGGTTGACAGCTGTTTTTCCTTCAGCTCTATCTGATCTTCTGAACGCTTGTACAGTAGCAGCTCTTCGATGAGGGCCTGAGACTGAACGCAGGGCAGAGGCAAATTTCATTTATGAGTTCACTGGCTTGCTCACCTTTCCCCATTAAAACCTAATAAAACTCCAAGAGGGGAAAAACCCTTCACAGCGCCTCATAATCAGAGATATCAATATCAATTCTCATGTCAAAAGCATACTTTTAGTCACATATTTTAAAAGATCTTTTTCCTTAGTTATTCGAAGCTAATTTATGGATACAGGGTTAAGACTAAAACAGACAAAGGTCCACTTATGCCGTCTTTAAATTTTAATTAGATAAGCATAATCTTATTATGCTAACTCTAAGCAAATGCCAATTTAGTAGAGCTTCATAGCAAGATGAACCCCTCGTTGGGGGTACAGCACAGAACTCCTTTATTTCTTCCATTAGGGGAACAGATAAAACTCCAAGCCATCCGATCCCAGTCTGGATCCCTTCAGAACGCAGAATATAACTGATGTAAAACTGAATCAAAATAAATCTTACTGGACTACCTGGGAAACTGTAACACAAAAAGGGTGAAGAAGGCTTTGGCATATTCAACATATTCTGTAACTTACTCGAAATTCAGCAACTATCTTAGACTTGAGAGCAGCTTTTGGATTCGTGGATGCTGTTGGAATTAAACAAAAGATCATTAAGAATAATGACAGAAAAAGCTGATGAATATTCAGGAAAATTTTAGCTCTATAGTTAAGGGTGTACTTTTGAACACAGGTCGAACATGCACACTTAAATCATAGTATAATTCCTAGAATAAATAGTGGAATAAGAAATATAAACACTCCCAAGCATGGTCAACATAAAAAGATATTATTTTGACAGGACTGACCTACTTACCTCCAACAGGCCCTGTAAGTCATAAAGTCCTGGAATTACTGATTTGGAAACACTGCACTACATGAAGCACCTTGTTCCGTCCCTGACTGAGCGTAAGAGGCTCTCGACACCTCAGTGAGAGCGTTCAGCAGCGCGACATCCAATTAACCCCGGGCACTGGCTGCAGAAAATCACTCACAAGCATCAACTCTATTCCTACGTATTTAGCTTCGGGTTTCTTTCTCTGCTGACTCAGTTCACAACAAAAACAGGCACGAAAAGTTCTAAGTACATTCTCACTGCGGTTGAACTTTGGCTGGAATGGTGACTCCTGTTGTTCCTAAGCATGCAACTTATGACCGAAAGGGTGTCAGCGGCTCCCTGAATCGTGCTGAGTGCCTCATGCTGGCCGGAGCAAAACCATCCCGAGTGTCTCGTTTCACCTCCCAAGTCTCACTGTCTTTTACCTTGTTCCCTCCACACCTTCAGGGCTTTCTCAGTATTCCTCAGTTTGGCCCACAGCAGCCTATCACATGCAGTGTTCCACTCCCCTGGTCTCATGCTGGGTAAACATGATAAACACAGCAGGAGCTCCTGTTAGAGAATGAGCTTCTGGCCAGGATCTGAGGCCCGTGTCTAATCTGGTAGAGAGTATCCCCAAATCTGAAGGATTTCATGGCTCCCACAGAATGCTTCTTAACGCCTAGTCTCCTCTTGAGCTCTGCTGCTTAATGCCAGCTGCCTCTAACTTCACACATCTTTGAACCTGAGAAGTTACCCCGGACGCCATGAAGCGTTTAGTTTCTTCTTTCAATCCCCCAACTACTCTTGAATCTTCACTCATTTAAACCCTTTTCCTGCATTTCTTTTGTTTAAAAGTAGTTTTTGGTTTGTTTTTTTTTTTAAAGAAGTAACTCCATGATGGCTTGTTTAGTATAAGTCACTGGGAGCCTCCCAGGCCTGGAAAACACAGGCTTGCCCATGGTTTATGCGAGGTACGGTGTCAAATGGTCTACATTTTTCTTCTGCTCCAAAAAGAGGAGTTAATTTTATATTAGTTGAGATTTTGTTCCTTACTTTGTGATTTCTTCCACTGCTTATTCGGTTGTTTGTTCAGATTTTCTTTCAGCTGCTTCTGAGTTTTGAAAGTGGTACCTGGAAAACATTTCAGTTTTTGCAATCTGGCATTATGGGAAGCTGTTCTGTCTGTCCACTTCAGTGTCAAAGTTGTAGCATGAAAAAAGGCAATCCGAGACTGTGTGTCGTTTTTTTCTTTCCTTTTCTTTCATTTTTTAAAAATACCTACTAGATCTCTAAGAAGCTGTCAAATATGATTTCTTTAGTCAATGAAATTACTGATTTTGAGAATACGGCAGGAAGCTTAAAAATACCAGTTAACACATTTGAATGAAGAATTTAACAGCTTCTTAGAAGATGCTATTTTTAAAGCAAATTTCTAGTCAAATAGTCATTGTATCAGATATCGCCAGCTTCCAGTCAATGATTTAATTGCATGCATCTAATATATAGGAACTAAACAACTTTTTAAAAAACAAGTAGAAACTTACTGCAAATCTAAACCAACAAAGAGACTGAAGAATGACAATATGTTTATTATCAAATACTTAGTGACAACTGAAACGCTGTCCAAAAAATTCTCCAGCAGTAAGAGGACAGGGCAGTAATTACTAAACACAAAAAACGAACAGTTTAAACACTCAACATAAAGCAAATGGAGGAAAATAATCAGATGGCCATCACCACTTAATATGCTTGACTTTCTTTCATCAATAAAAACAAAATCCAACCCTCCTCAAATCAATTCTACTTAAATTTTAATTTGGATTTTTATAAGTATTTAATTTTAAACAAACAAGGCCAGATCCAAAATTATATTATATTATTAAGCAACACGACCAGATCTATAAAATACATATAATTTTAAAGACTAAACAATGACTCAAATTTTCTTTTAGGAAAGAAAAAGACACTTACTCAAAGCTTCTCTTAATGCCATAATCATTTCTTCTGGGTACACATTTCGATCTTCCCAGATTTTAAAGATTCGTTCTATAGACTTTGAGACAGATGGATCCCTGAGGAGAAAGAAAAAGTGAGACATATATAAAAACGGTAACTTACATCTCAAACTAGGAATCTAAAAAGAGAGTTGTTGCCAAATTATTTTCCAATGTCTAGGGCTAAAACCTGAAGTACTCTCACTCAGCACTCTTTATCAATGACATAGATGGAACTCTGGACAACATATTAAACATTTTTTTTTTTAATATGGAACGCTTCACGAATTTGCATGTCATCCTTGCGCAGGGAAAGGCCGTGGGAATCTTCTCTGTATCGTTCCAATTTTAGTATATGTACTGCTGAAGCGAGTGCCATACTAAACTTTTTGATGGATATGAAGTTCAGAGGGCTACTGACACAACTGGCACCCTGGAAGACAGGCTGACTCCAATAAGATGAAATCGAACAACGAAGAATCTGGTCCAAAATACCAATTGCACTAGTACAGAATAAGACAAGGCTTAGCAATGCCACATGCTTGTTTTTCTTCAAAGTTTGGTCGAAAATATGAATCAATAACACACTGTGACATGTTTTCCAAAAAGCTATTGCTTAATATTATGAAAATACATATCTAGACTGGTGGCAGTGAGAAATATCACTTTACTGTTTGCTTCACAGGTGGATTTCCGTGTCAGGCTGGTCATCTTATTTTAGCAGGAAAATTGTTAAAATAGAAGTGTTTGACCAATAATGACCAAAAGCAAAAATTAAAATCATATCTTATGTGGAACTGCAGAAGAAACAGAAGAACAATGCCGGGAGGTTTCATTAGCTGTTGTAAAGAAAAGGGCTCAGACTGGTTTTGTGCGATC